CAAAAGCATATATGTAGAGAGAAACTCTATGTATGTATGCATATGTGTTTACATCTTGATTGAATCTAAAGATTATTTGAGGCAGCATATATAAAAGTCATAAGACAAAACAGGAAATTAAGTTATTTTAAAAATTATATCCAAACCCTGCACAGTGGGAAAATTACAGAGGGCCTAAAATGAAACTTGACACACTTCCTGGGACCATCTCCACCCTCACTTCTCGCCATCAGCCTAGGCCACCTCCCAGAGACACTTCCCGAAGTTTGTGCTTTTAATTCCTCTGATCAGTGTCTCCAACTCTCTAAATAACGTGATCACACTTTTATTTCTTGATTAAAATAGTGCTTTATAAAAGTGGAGAATCAGAGCAAGGAGAAAATAATGAGAAACAGACCAGAGCATGGTCTTTGGAGACAGGCACACCTGGGGTTGGGGCCTCGCTTGGCCACCACAGCTGGGCAATTTGGGATAGTTACTTGACCTTTCTGGACCTCTTCTGCAGAGTGGGAAAAGTAAGAGTACCTAATCTTAGGGCTTAGAGGATAATTCAATGCTTATGAATTACTTAGCCCAATACTAGCCTCATAATTAGCACCCAATGAAAGTTAGCTAAAAAAAAAAAAACTAGATTAAAGGCACAGTTATAACCAGAAATGTATGCCTTAAGGGACTGCCAAATTACTAGAGACAGACACAAAGAAAAGTCAGCATTATCTTACTTTATTTTTGCCTAAAGAGACACTCTATAATATTTTGCCCAATATAAAGCACTCTGTGCAATAGCTATCAGTTTTCGTTGCATATATTTTATTTCAACTTGCATGTGGCAACATTTATGTATTTTATTTACCTCATATGCAAAATGCCCTTACTTACTCCTAGAGAAGTTCTGTTGCTTCTCTAGCATTAGTTTTGGCATATGACGGAATAACTACCAGAGGAGATGTTGCAGGAAGGGGTATAGAGAGAACTTGGAACTTCAGAACTTCCATTCCTTCCACTCTTATCATAAAAGTGTGACAGTAATATGTTGAGAACAACATCTGGAATGTAAAAGATTTTCCATAAATTTTTTTTTATTATTTAAGGAATGAATGGAAGACTATTAATATTTTCTCCAGAGCTGACTTAGAATATTAGCCAAATTTTCAGATGAAAGATGTAATATTAAAAAATATGAAAGATTATCAAAAGCGTGTAACTATATTTCTTTATATCCTAATTGTAGAGCTTAAGCTAATAAATTTGAAAGTTGCCATGTGAATTATCAAAATTTTAACACTAGCCATACTCAACAAAAAGAAAAGGGAGAGGAAGGAAGAAAATTATTAAAAATAGAATGCCCTTTTTTGGACTGATTACAGTATTAGGGACTTTTACATATCATGTCTTTTAATCCACACCTCACTATGAGGTAGGATTTTCCCTCCTCTATTTATTCCTTTTTGTCTCTGTAAGTGTCTAATGCCTAAGAAAGCGCTTGTCACATAGTAGGTGCTGAATATATATTAACTAAATAATATGTGAAAAACATTGAGGTCCAAAGAGGGCAAGTAACTTGTCTGGAATCACCAGTTAGTAAGTTGCAGCTGACCCTCTAGCCAGGCCTCTTTCTTTTTCTTTTTTTTTCTTTTTTATTATTAGTTTCAGGTGTACAGAACAATGCACTAGTTATCCTTTNGTTGCAGTGCACCGACTTGAGGTGGACTTTGAATGCTGTGAGATATAAACACTGTGTGCTCCAGGAATCCTGGACTTATCTGGTATTTGTACAAGTTATGCGGACACAGAGAGCTGTGCACCTCATATATGTGGTTCCTAAATGGATAATAGTCAATCTACAATTTGCAGTTGAGGTAGCCAACCACAGGATCATGAGTTCATTCCAGGCCTCTGACTGGCCCCAGCTGCAGAAATGGGCACTAAGGACTTAAAAGGTCAATTTATTTAGGAAGACTGCAAAATAAGCCACCAGACCCAAATGTCAAGCCCTTTATGTTGGTATTTCTATAGGTGAATAGTTTCCAGGCTAAGGTATACCCCAGAAAGCCTCCAATGTATATCCAAGTTAACTTAACCCAGTGGTTCTCAACCAGGAGTGGTTTTGTCCTCCACCCCCACCCTGGTGACCCTTGGCAATACCTGGAGATATTTTTTATTGTGACAATTGGCAGGGGGGTGGAAAGCAGGGTGTTACTAGCATCTAGTGGGCAGAGACCAGGAAGCTGCTAAACATCCTATAATGCACAGAACAGCCCATCACAACAAAGAATTATCTGCTCCAAAATGCCAACAGCTGAGATTGAGAAACCCTGCCTTCACTCTATTATTAAACACTCTGTGAGTATCTAATACCTAAGAAAGTACCTGGCACGTAGTAGGTGCTAAATATACAGAGGGTGCCAAAAATAATGTATACACATTTTAAGAAATGAAAACTATATTAAAATTGTAATACTAAATATATACTGATAACAAAAGATGAATACAAGTCACGTTTGACATCTGCAATTACTAGAGGTGCTCAAATTGGTTATTACCATCAGTGTCCAGATGCTTCTGATTACAGAGAACTGCTGCTTGAGCAATGTTACCAAAGTGTCCCCTTTTATACATTTTTTGGCACCTCCAGTATGTGAAAAAATGGAGTCCCAGTTGATTCTCCTACTAGGAGAGCCTGTGCTTTTTGAAGACACAGCAAACCCAGTACCTCTTCGTCTCTCCGGGTGTCCTGACTGTCTTGTAACCTATTAAGCTTTGCCTTTCTTATCTGTCTGTGAGACTTCTGCACAATCAGAAACACAACATGCTCCTTCTTCCCTGTCCTCTCCACTTCCTTATTCATGTCGAGGATATCCATGGCCACATCCATGTTGAAGAAGTCCTTGGCCACAGCCTCAATGATACCTACAGCAAGCAGGACATCTATTAGTGAGGGATGGCAGAAGGCACTTGTGTCAGCAAAACTCACAAAATAATTAAGCTATACAACTTGTGATGAATATTCCAGAGTTCACCAAGTCCAGGCCCTGCGTCATGACAGATTAATAAAATTAAAAAAATAAAAATAACTTCACAGAGATTTAAGTTTTACATGGCTGGATACCAAATATATCCCTGCCATTCTAATTTCTAGTTCAGCATCTATTCGTGAAAGGTACTTAACTGATTAAACAAACAAATAAATAAACTCTGGAGATGATGTAAGCAACATTCAGTTGTAAAAGCATTAAGGATCATGTTTTTTCAGTGTTCCTACAGAAAGCTATCCCAGGGTTATAATATAAAAATGGTAAATCATGGATGAAGGTGTTCATTACAGCACTGTTTACAATAGCAAAAGAGTAATATCAGCTAAAAGTTGAACAATAGGGGACTAGTTAATTACAATATCGAATATCATTTAGCCATGGAAGATAGTGGTTTTACAAGCTGTGGAAACATGAAAAGATGATTTTTTATAATGCTGAATGCAAAAAAAAGTTGATATAAAATAGTGTCTGCAGAATTATCACAACTACGGAAAAACCAGCATAATTTTAAGTGCTGAAATAAAAGTGAAAATTATGCCTTCTTTTGGCACTTCGGAAACTTATTTTAAAGGCTTAGAATTTTGGGAGTAATGGTCAAGGTGGCAGAGTCAGACCATGAAGAAAGGGATTTTTAATTTCCTACCCACAGCTGGCATCAGCCATTCTGGAGAATTTGTAGGGAAACCCATCCTGACTCCAGAGGCCTCATAGCTGTGGGACTGGCTAAGCCATCCCCATACCTGGTACAATGTGGCACAGACCGCTTCTATCAGAGTAATAATGGAGAAGCATTTTCCTGTCTGCTCCTCTCTCCAGACGAAATGATGGTGCATTCATTTCCTAATTAAAATACACAATATGGTTTTCCCAGTGAATGCAAATTGTCTAAATTATACTTTTAAGCCTTTGTGAAACAACAGTTCTTATCCATTGCACCACATAAAACTATATCCCAAACTGCCCTCCAATCTCACAAAAATAAAATCTACCATGTTTTTAGTCCCTATATGTCATGAATTTTATATTATACTTAACCCTCTAACCAGCTCTATATGGCAAGTATTATCTCCATTTTAAAGAGGAGGAAACTGAGGCTTAGGGCAGGTAAGGCTAGATTAATGGTAGAACAACATTTTGACACTCCCCCCACTCCTCAATGAGCTTTTTCACCATGCCATGCTGCTACTCCCCACACTCAAAGCGGGAGCTGGCTGCCATGTTGGCATGTGACGGTGGGTATCTTCACTATCAGAAAGATCAGGGGCTCAGAAGAAGTATATTATTATGCTGTCTGAGGGTGTCCCTGAGAGAAGCAGTTTTCTCCCCTGCTTGATCATAGGCAGCTCAGAGCCCTGCCTCACAGCCTTTGGTCTGAGTGAGGGACAAGATTAAGGAGGTGGGTTCTTTCTGAGATCTTTGTTCTCTTCTATGGTGGGGTGTGTGTGGGGTGTGTGGGTAGGGGTGTGTGTGTGTGTGTGTGTGTGTGTGTGTGTGTGTGTGTGTGT